TCTGGTTTTAAACACTATGCATGTAACATTTATTCTATGATATAAAGAATACAGAAGTATAAGAATACAAGCTCGGCAATCATCAGCAACGATACCAAGGGGCCTCATCCACACGTGCATCCATGCAGCACTCATACTCACAGCCAACGGACCCTCTCGGCGATCCATCGGGACTGTGGGTGACCAGCTGCAGTGCTGTTCTGACACACACGGGAGCTGGAAAGCCCTGGCCTTTTATACCTTTAAGTGGATGCTATTAGCTTGGTCCAACTGGGTCGAACAGGGAGCTCCTCTGAGCAGGGCCGACACGCAGAACGTGCTGGTCCTTGTCTTGAACACACACAACGGTCACATTCCACTGTCTCTCTGGATGGCACATCTTATCTGTTACGGCCCCTTCTCCAAGCACTCCCGGCCTCTCAGCTTTCTCAGCCCGGTCAGTCCCATCCTGCTGTTCCATTCTTCATTTTCTTCTGGGTCTCAAGGCCTTCGGGAACCCAAGCGCACTGTGACAAGCGGGGCCTCCAGGCGGGCACACAGAGCGCCGATCCTTTTCCGCTCTGGCTGTCCTGCTCGGGAGCAAAGCAGGAAATGCAGAAACACGAAGAAATAGGACGGGCGCCTCCAAGGCACGGGCCGGAGCGCGCTCTAGGCCCGTCCAGCCGGCGGCGTCGCGCAGCTCCCCTGCAGCGCGGCAGGGATGCCCCGAGCGGGGGGCGACCGGGGCACTTTCCGCAAACCTCACGAGGACCGGCGCCTCGGGTCGCAGCCTTGGCGGGGCGGGCGCCAAGCTGGCGCGGGGGGGCGGCCGTGCGGCGGGGCCCCTCCCCCGCGCCCCCTCGCCTCGCGGGACGGCCCCGCCCGCCGCGCCTGCGCAGAACCTGGCCAAGATGGCGGCGCCCACGAGGGGCGGCCTGGCCGCGCTGGTGAGGGCCGCGGGGGGCGGGCGGGCGGGCTGGCTGCCCCGGGGCTGCCCCCGCCCCGCTCACGCCTCCGCGCTTCTCTCCCCGCAGGGCGCCCGGGGAGCCTCCGCCGCCGCCGCCGCGCTCTCGCTGCCGGCCGAGGCCTTCGGGAACGACGTGAGTGCGGGCACGGGGGGCCGGGCCGGGCCGGGCCGGGCCGCCGCCGCCGCCGCCGCTGACACGTCTCTCTTTGCAGCCCCTGGTGGAGGCGGCGTGGGCCGCCAAGGCGTACCAGCACGCCCAGGTCTACTTCAACGTGAGTCTCCCGTCCTCCCCCGGGCGCAAAGCGCGCTCTCGCCCCCCGAAGCCGTGCGCGCCGCGCCGCGCCCCGCGCCCCTCACCGGCCTCGCTGTGCCTTCCCTGCAGCTCATCTCCTCCGTTGACCCGGCGTTCCTGAAGCTCACCAAAGCGGACGACCAGATCTACTCCGAGTTCCGGAAGGCCTTCCCCGACCTCCAGATCGGCGTGCTGGACCCGGAGGATCTGAAATCTGGGCCGGCCAAAGAGGTCGGTGCCGCGGCTGCGGGGCGGCGGCGTGGGTTGCCCGCTCACCGGGGAAGTAACGACGCGCCCCTCCTCCTCCTCCCACTCCGTGCAGAAATGGCGCCCGTTCTGCCTGCGCTTTGACGGGGTGGTCGAGGACTTTAACTACGGGACGCTTCTGCGGACGGATTGCAGCAAAGGGTATACCGAGGAGAACACGATATTTGGTAAGGCCGGCGCACCTTCCCCTGGGCAGCAGTGGCCGCTCTCCGGGCAGCTTGTACTCGGGAGCAGTTCTGCTGGGCAGGCAAGTGCGGCCCTTCTAGAAGGGGCACAAAGCTGGGCTCCTGGAGCAGCTGTGCTGTCCTCCTCTTGGCCTCCACGGGCCTCTTTTGTTCAACGGGGTTTTGGGACCAGGGGTTGATGGGGAGGAATTGTGTGTGAGGACCAAAGTCCTGCTAAGGAAAGCTCTTTCCTTCCTCAGCCACCAGGATCCAATTCTTTGCTATTGAAATAGCCCGCAACCGAGAAGGCCACAACCATCTTGTCTATGGCAGGGCCAGGGAAGCCTGCTTGGGCACCCAGGCGGACAGCTCTGGATAAAGCCTTCTGCGCTCAAGAAAGGGCAATACATTCAAAGGAAAAAGGACCAGAGTTTTGCTCCAGCATCAGCTCCAGCTGAACTACCGACTGCCTCTGTTCCATGGCAAATCAAGGAACAGCTGCTGCTGGAATTCTGTTGACGATGCCAAAAAGCTCTAAATCGTGGCTATAACCATGATGTATTTGAGGATGCATCAGCTTGCTTTTTGTATCTTCTAGAGCTTCCATGTGCTAGACATGAAATCAACATTAAAATTCTTGAATGAAATTAGCAGCCAGTGAATTCCAGTTGGAACCAAATTTTTGTACCCTTTTATAGAAACAAGAATAGCCATTTTGCAAGCCCTGGGATGATCCCAGCTAGTTCAAGCACACATTGCCGTGGTAAATGTACTGCTCTGCATCCAGCTAGCCCAGCAAAGCCCAGTGTGGTGGTGTTAGGGCTGTCTGCAAGACTTCTGGTACCTCATTTGCCTAATGGTGCAGTGGTCTGGGAGGCTCAGGTTCCATGGGCACCTGAGGACTTCCCAAAAGGATTGCCTGTGTAAACACAAACAGATGCAGGGTGCAAGTCCAAAATTAAGTACAGCTTGCTTTTAAAGAAGACTAAGGCTAAAGTTAAGAAGTTAGGAATTTGACTTGTGCAGTCCTGGGCAGGTGTCCAAATAAAGGACTTCTAGAGTGAGAATGTGAGTTAACATTTACTAGGAAGGGATCCAGGGCAGATCTGGAAGATTACAGGTCATTTATCTTAACATCTGTTCTGGGTAAACTGCTGGAAAGCATTATCAAAGATAGAATCAGCAAGCAAATACAGGGACAAGCCATTCTGAAAAAATACCAGCGTGGTTTCCACAAGGGCAAGTCTTGACTCACTAACCTACTGGGGTTCTCTGGGAGGGTCAATAAGCATGTTAGGCAGGGGTGATTCAGAGAAGGGCAACAGAATTTTTGGGGGGGCTAGAGCAGCTCCCCTATGAGGAATGGCGCGACCATTGGTCCTGTTCTGCTTGGAAGTCATCCTTGTTTTCAGCTCACGTGTGCCTGAATCTTCATGGACATCACACAAGAGTAACACTCTGGCCTGGTTCCACACAGCTCAGTAGAAACCACTGAAGTTTATTTGCAGCCACAATGCTTACACTGTATGCAGCAAACACCCTTACAAGTCATTCAGCAATCTGCTCACGCATAAAGGACCCAACACGCAATCGCCAGGGGAAAGAAGAAAAAATAAAATGGAGCAGGTACTATCTGGGAAGAAAAACCAGGACAGGTTAGAGCTAGGCTAGAGGGTGCACAAAGCTAGCAGCAAGAAGGGTGGGAAAGTACAAGGCAAACAGCTCCCCCCAACCTTCTTTCCGAAAGTTTAAATATCCAAAACATTGCTGCAGCATTAGGGTAAAATGTGGATTTGTGTTACACATCATGCCGGGCTTGTCCTGTGAAGAACCTTGTCCTGGTAGCGGCCGATACCAAGTTCGGTGGTTCCCAGTGAAGACGGCCGTCTGTGAGTAGCAGAGGGGGCTCAGAAAATCTGCGGGGCGGGGCGGGGCAGGGCAGGGAATGCAAGACAAGACTGCTGCTGTGGCAGCCCTCGAGGAGAGACTTGCTCAGCCCCGAACAGCTTACTCTCCACACGTCCTAGCAGCCGAGAAACAAGGAGGTCCACATGAACTAAAAGGAGAGCCTGAGGGGGGATGCTAAGAAAGAAGCATGGACACACCAGCTCAGACCTTTCTGTGGCCGGCCACCTGGGGCCAGGCGAGAAAGGGTGTGCCAGAAGGAGGGCAGGGAGAAAACACTCGTGGAGCATGGCATGGCTTTGAGTTCCTAACAACAAGAGGGAAGATCGGGGCAGGATGATACAAGTTACAGGGATGTATAAGAAAAATATACATTTGGAATTTTACACTTATCGTGTCTCTCTACACTTGTTACTAAATATAACTCTGCGCTTTCACACCCCCTAACCCAGTTGCACGGCAGGTGGCCAGGAGACAGCTTCCTCACTTGCATACAATCCTCACTTCAGCATTGGTGCACTAAACTCTGTAAAAATTTCAGTCACACTTTTTTAAACTTGAGTCAATATAAACCTTGTTCAAAATGTTATGAAAAAATGTACATGTTTATACAAGGCAGGCTGTGGCAGGACACTGGGATTCCTCTCTGACATTCACGTGGGGAGAGGGTGTTCTCCCCTTGCTCTTCTCTAAGGAAAAAATCCCCCTGCCCTGGTGGATTTTGACACCCCTCCTCCTGCAGCCTAGCCCCAGGGACCAGCAGGGATCATAAATGCCCTTTTGTCTTTCCATCGGAAAAGTTAACCTCCCTGGCCCAAGCCAGAGAGAGGCTTCTCACGAGACGTCAGCTCATCATGTCGTTGCTGTTCACCCCATAGGTGGAGTTCTTCATAGAGTCATTCACCTCCCGCCGGAACGCAGACAGGTTCTGCGTAAACCTGCCAAGGATACAAGCCAGAACTCGGTTAGAAATGGGCAAGCACCACCCCGAAGGCCCTGGCACGGCCTCGCCACCCCAAGCTGGCTCCGCTGCTGCACAAGGAGCTGCGCTGTGTGTCTGAGGGAGTCCAGAGGGAGAAGCTGCCTTGGGTCTCCCATTTGCCTTTATATAAGGAAAACAAAAATAAACTCAAACTCTCTCCTTTCTGGAGGACAGTTCTGAGAGCCTGGCAGGCAAGCTCTGATGAGGTGGGCCCGTTCAGAACTACTTGTTTCAGCAGCCCCATTGCTAGCTGCTCTTCCACTGGCAAAGGCTACCGCAACGATCAATCGACCCTTGTGTGAAAGGTTCCCTTCCCAACACCATCTGGAACAGCCAAGTCAGAGCTCACGAGTTTTGTCCTGCACACAATAGATAAGGCCAAAAATTGCCCTCCCTTTAAAACTGCTGCAGTGGGACCTTGGCTCACGAACTTAATCCGTTCCAGGACTCCGGCTGAGACCCAAATTGGTCATAAGCCAATTAAATTTCCCCATAAGGTTTAATGTAAATAAGGTTAATCCATTCCGTAACTATTTTTTTTAATCACAAAAATTTGAAGCTGGTGCACTGGGGCAGGGGGGGAGACAGGCACGATAGCGGGTGTGCTCAGGGGGGTGATGGGCGTGATCGTCACCTGATGCAGAGTTCGCGACCTGAGGCAACATTTTTCAGAAATTTCTGTTTGCGACCCGATTTGGTTGTGAACGGAGGCATTTATGAGCCGAGGTACCACTCTATTTTGTGCTTTCTTGTCCAAATATTTTTTTCTGAGTTAAGCACCCTCAGTCCTTTTAGCCTGCATCACAAGATGTGACCATGTCAGATTCTTCCATTTGGGGCGCTCCTCTGCTTTGATGAAACAGTGTGCAAGAGGCCAGAGAGGAAGGGCGCACGCAAGCACCAGCAGGTGGAAGGGGCCGAGCAGGCCGAGGAAGGCTTCCTTCGGCTGTCTGGCCTGCCAGCCTCGTGCAGTGAACTCTGTGCCACTCTTAAGAGCTCAGGCCCAGATACTCTCCGGGGGAGCTGCTTTGTCAGGGCGCCTCCAGAGCACGGGTGCTCCAATTACGGCCCGCGGGTTGGATCCGGCTCGCCACAGCTAACCAGGCGTGCATGCACACGCATGCACGCACGGCGAGGTGCCAGCTTGCTTGCAAGGAGATCGTTTTGGACTCACTCGGAAAAAATGATCTCTGCGCATGCATGCCCCTGCCTTTCTGTGCCTGCGCACCCCCCCGCACGCCCCTCCCTGGCGGGCCGTGCCATCCCTGGCACCTGTCGACTGTCCCCCATTAGAAAAAGTTTGAGCAGCCCTGCCCTAGCGATGAGAACAGGGTCCCCACCGTGCCTCCCGCAGGGCATTCTGGAGCGGCAAGTGGCCTGCAGGCAGGCGGCAACCCAGTCGTTCCGCGGGCTGCTCCCCGTGGCCCGAGAGCGATACTGACCTATCGCGATTCTTGGTGAGCAAATTGCGCTCAATGCCTTCCATGAGGTTCTCGAAGCAGAGGTGCATCGCCTGCTGTTTCTCTGGAGGCTGGCTGTTTACTATACTGTTCCTTAGGTCTGAGAAATACTGGAAAGGGAGGGAGAGGGAGAGGCATTGGAGAACTGTGTGCTTAAAGAAGGCAGAGCCCTCCTTTTCAGACACCCAGCCGACAGCCAGCGCAGTGCCAAGGGGCCTGAGGAGCCCTTACCTTTTCATTGAGGAGTATCAAGCCAAGCAGAGGCCGCGACATGGACCACTGGTTCCTGCAGTCCTCAAAGATGATGATATTCAACACTGTTGACAGCATCTAGGAAGGGAGCGCAAGACTGAGCCGGCTGCTACAGTTCTTGTAGCTTAATTTTTGAGAGGCACAACAGAATGGGAGTGTTGAAAGGGGAAGGTCCTGTTTTGGAAAGGGAGCACGTAACCAGCACTGCGTCACTGGCAGGGCTCGATGCCGCTGTGCTGCCCCAGCACCTCCGCAGAATGCCTCCGCGGCCTGCTCAGTGCCACCCGGATGAGCGCTGCAACAGAGAGAACGGCCCTGGGCTGTGTTCGTGCCGAGCCGGGTACGAGGATGCCACACTCCTCAGCATGCCCAAGCCTCCCTTGAGCCTGCACCGACCCGGGTGGTGGTGCCGGAATACAAGAGTTGGCTCAGGGCTGCCCTGGGGGAATCTGCACACGATCTGCGTGGAGGCGCCCTCGGAGAGACGTCCTCTGTATGAGGCCGGGGAGCCGCACAGCCACAGGCGCCGCCTCCCTTGCCCTTACCTGCTGGATCATCTCGGGGTGCTGCTGCATGATGTGCAGGAAGCGGTCGCTCTCCTGGGTCAGCGGGGCGGTCCTCTTCTTCGTGCTGCGGGAGAGCTGCTTGAAGAGATAGGTGACAATGTGGTCCAAGCAGGAGCAGCAGCCTGTGCAAACCATGGTGTCTATAGAACAAGAAGAGGGGCAGAGTGGGAAGACAGGGCCAGGAGCACCTCGCGCCCCACGCCCGGCTGGACCGCGGCCATCGAGTCTGCAGCCCACGGCCCGTCCACAGCAGGGGGCTGAACCGGGCGATCGCCAAGCCGCCTTCCGCCGTGAGTCCCCCTGCAAGCATCCGCCCCAGCGGCAGCCCCAGCGGCCAGCGCTCCCAGTAAGCGCGGTGGACGGCGCCCTGCTCAAGGTCCCTTGGCTAGCCTGGCAGCCCTCCTTTCCAGACACCCGGAGCATCGCCGTGAGGACACAGGCTGAGGGCCAGCGCTGCTGGCGGGGACGGGCTCGCAGTGCTTGGCAAAGGCGCGACCGTACCTTAAGAGCTACGGGGACGAACCTTTAGCTGCACGGTCGTGTAATGCCAGTGGCCTCCGACTACAGAGGCTGGAGATGCAGCTTGTGCACCTCCTGCCTCAGAGATGGCTGCTGAGCAGGGCCGGGCAGCAAGAGCGTCTGGGGCATCCTTCACCTCCTGCCCGCCCCGCCCCAGCCGCCCCCTTCCAGAGCTTCCCTTCAGAGTCCTTATTATGCTCAGAGGCACACTGCGGTACAGAAAACATATTCACTTACCTAGTGCTGTGAGACCTTCTGAAATGGAAGAAAGAATATACATGATTACGTGAGGCTCCAAGCTGGCTATAAAATTCATGTGGTCCTGGGTAAGAACTTCCAGTAATGAATAATAGGACTGGCTGAGCTTAGGGTAATCCTGCAGACAGAGAAAGACAGGGAGAAAGGGGTAGGTGAACGCCCAGAGTCATTGTCGTTCATTCTCATTCTTTTTCTCTCTCTCGCTCTGTGCACACACGCGGAAGGTGCATGGGCACATCCCACAACTGCACGGTGCGACTCCGAGTGCAGCTGTGCAGTCCCTATAAAACTCGGTTGCAACCCCTGTTCCAGAAGCAGCGGCTCTCAGCCTGTGGCCATTCTGAGTAAGATGCTTGGCTTGCTGAAGGGCCTGGATGGGAACACCGTGCTGAATTCCTGCCCTTGGGATTCCTGCAATCCGATACCTCCGTGCCAAAGAAAGGGGAAAAGTGCAGGGAGGATGAGGGACCCCTCCAATGGACACATGGCTGACCCGCTACTTCTCCCGACGATTTTTCCCTCTACACCTGAAGCAGATGGCCCATAGAGCTAGCAGTCTCCGTCTAGCGGTCCACACCCACAGCACAAACGAATGGTTGCGCTCTGCCATGCTGTCCTGCCACTGGCTTCCTAAGAGCCAGAACCAGAGTGTGCAGGTTTCTGTTCCCACCGGGGAAAGATGTCTGAGCAAAACCTCTCCTGGAGAGTTGCCTCAGTGGTCAGCGAGGTGGTGCCTGGCAGGCGCCTGCCTTTCCAGGGATTCTGTGCCAGCCCCGATGGGGCCATGCACTGGATGAGCCAACTGGGCGCATTCACTGATCTGAGGCACCGGCACTGCTGCCCCCAGCAGAAAGGGGGGCTGGGACCGAGAAGGCAGGTGCAACCCAACGGTGATGTCCACACATATGCGCTGGTCGTCAAAAGCAGTCCGAGACGGGCGCATGGCAGTCCCAAGCCGAGGTGAACGAAAAGCCTGGGTGGCTGGGGCAGCAGCTCACCAGAAGGTCGCTGTGTGGGATGGAGAGCAGGAGCTTGATGAAGGTCTGCAAGGCATTGTCGAGCGCGTCGTCCCCGTAGAGGCGGAAGACCCCAAAATTGACATAGCTGCCACTCAGCGCGGCCTTGAGCATGGAGAAGCAGATGGAGATCCCTTTCAGCTTCAAGGCGTACACTTGATCTTTTGGAACCTCTCCCAGGGTCAGGATACGATTTCCTGCAAAAGCATTTTAAAAAGGCCGGCATCTCAGCATTTTCTTCTTAACCATGTCCGTAAAATTTACATTCTTCTCAGAACCTGTCAGAAAAACAAAGCTGAGAAACCACGAGTGACAGTGTAAGAGGGCATCACCCTGCCATGCCAAGACATGATTTTTGCGCAGAAAAGGTTGGCTGTTAGAGCCTTGTTGGGCAGCCCTTCACAGCTCCCCGAGACCCCAAACAGCCTCACCCCTAATGGAGATGCACAAGAAATGAAGGGTGGCTGCTCGAAAGAGAGACAAGCGCTCTGGGGCAGGCACAGAATGTGCAAAGCTAATTTTTAAACAAAAAAGTGTTTGTATTTAAACACAGAAACAGAGCAAGTCAGAAGGAGCCTCCTGGATGCCCTTTCTAATGTAACATTTGTAATGTTCTGTTTCATTGACTATGCTAAAGCCTTTGATTGTGTGGATTACAACCAATTGTGGCAAGTCCTTAAAGAGATGGGAGTACCAGTCCATCGTATTTGTATCTTGAGAAACCTGTATGCGGGTCAGGAAGCAACAGTAAGAACTGGACACGGAACCAGTGATTGGTTCAAAATTGAGAAAGGAGTTCGGCAAGGCTGTATACTGTCGCCCTGCCTATTTAACTTACATGCAGAGCACATCATGAGAAAGGCGGGCCTAGATGAATCACCAGTTGGAATTCAGATTGCGGGGAGAAATATCAACAACCTCAGATATGCAGATGATACCACTCTAATGGCAGAAAGTAAAGAGGAACTAAAGAGCCTCTTGATGTAGGTGAAGGAGGAGAGCGCAAAAGTTGGCTTGAAACTCAACATCAGGAAAACTAAGATCATGGCATCAGGTCCTCTCACTTCCTGGCAAATAGATGGGGAAGAAATGGATGTAGTGACAGATTTTATTTTCCTGGGCTCCAAGATCACTGCAGACGGGGACTGCAGTCAAGAAATTAAAAGATGCTTGCTCCTGGGGAGGAAAGCTATGGCAAATCTAGACAGCATATTAAAAAGCAGAGGCATCACCCTGCCAACAAAAGTGCGTATAGTCAAGGCTATGGTTTTCCCAGTTACAATATATGGCTGTGAAAGCTGGACCATAAGGAAGTCTGCGTGCCGAAGTATTGAGGCCTTTGAAATGTGGTGCTGGAGAAGACTCCTGCGAGTCCCTTGGACCGCAAGGCGATCAAACCGGTCAGTCCTAGAGGAGATCAACCCTGACTGCTCTTCAGAAGGCCAGACAGTGAAGCTGAAACTCAAATACTTTGGCCACCCAATTAGAAGGACTCACTGGAGAAGACACTAATGCTTGGAACAACTGAGGACAAAAGAAGAAGGGGACGGGCAGAGGATGAGGTGGCTGGATGGAGTCACTGAAGCAGTTGGTCTGAGCTTGAGTGGACTCTGGGAGATGGTGGAGGGCAGGAAGGCCTGGAGGAATGTTGTCTATGGGGTTGCGATGGGTCGGACATGACTTCGCGACTAACAACAACACATTTGTAATGTACTCTTGCTTTCAATTCAGTATTTTAATGTAAATTAGCATGGTTTGTAACTTGTTGGGAAATGATGCAAACAACCATGGAATAACATTTTTGTTTGTTTGTTTAGTTGCAAAGTCGTGCCTGACCCATCATGCCCCCATGGACAACATTCCTCTGGGCTCTGCTGTCCTCCACCTTCCCCCGGAGTCCACCCAAGCCCACACCCACTGCCCCAGTGGCTCCATCGAACCACCTCATCCTCTGCCATCCCCTCCTCCTTTTGCCTGGAATAACCTAACACAAATCTATTCAAATGGGACTATGAACGTGGGGAAAACCTGCGCAACTTGTTGGAGGGCAAGTGAGTTCCGAACTGCCCTGGAGTTCAGGCACGCTTTACAGAAATAAGCTACTGACCAGCAGCTCCTGGGAGTCTTTTGGCAAGCCTTCTTTTCCTTGGGCTCCTCAGCGCTTCCAACAGCATAAATCACCATCAGGGAACTATGCAAGCTGCCCCGCTACTTGTCAGTGGCCTGTGCATTAAGAGTCCCTTTGCTCTCCACTGAACCCTAACCCACGCCAAAGACCGCGAAGGAGAAGGGAAGCGCCTTCCCCTCCGTACCTACCATAGGTAGTTATCATTTTGCTTGTCTCCCGGAAGAGCAAGATGCCATTGGGTGAAGAGACATCAAACTGCAACCTCTGAGACCTGGAAGCAAACAACCAAGCAAGAAAGTTGTGCCTTGGCTGAGGAACCAAGAGCGGGAGAAGCAAAGTGCTGGCGCTGGAGGCCTCTCAGGGGGAGCCTGAAAGCCCTGCCCGTCAGTGCAGGCAGGCACAGAAACGGTCCCATGTCCTCAGCTGCCAGCACATGAAAAAACATCTCTTTTCTGCAGCGGATTCCGAATCCATCTAAGCCAGCCTTGGAATTGCGTGAGAGACAGCCTGGCTCTGTGGCTTGTGCCTCGCCCTGGTAACCAGAGGCAGCCTGCTTCTGAACATGAACATGCTGTTCACCTGTCAAGGCTAATCATTATGGATAACCTGCCCTTCTCAAGGACAGGTGTGCTGTGCAGAGACGCTTCCATACTGTGTGCTGGCTCATCATCCGCTGAAAAGGGCTGGCAGCAACACCTGTGGGGCCCCTGCTGGTGCCCGGCCAGCCACCTGGCACCCCTGCAGAACTCTGGCCAGGGAGGGCAGCCGAGGAATGGGGTGTCTGCATCTCTGGTGACTGCACAGGCCAGCCAGCCATGGGGGGTACCAGGAGCCCAAAGCTGTCCCTACCTGTTGTGCACCAGCTCAGCCATCAACTTGAGCACAGGCGTGGTGCAGGCCGGGTCGTGGTACCAGAGCTCAACTGCCCGCTGCAGGATCGGCATGTAGGGTGGGTAGCTGTGAGACAGAAGCTAAGAAGCCGCAGTGCTGGCAGAAACACGTGGTAAGCACTGGAGTCGTTCCACTCAGCGCCTGGCTCGTAAGCTGCCACACTGACTGCAAGCAGCTCACTGCAAGGCTGCTTGCCACAGGCCCTGCCAGCTCCGGCTCGGGCTGGGGAGAGGGCAGCTGGGCTACCCCGTCTCTTCACTTAAGGGTCTAGCAGCCTGCCCAGCACCGTGATGCTTGCAGCCTCTAAGCCAGCCTTCTCTCGGCCGTGTGGGCCAGGGCAGGGATGCTCTCCCCAGAGAAGGCAGGCGGCCCAGTGCGAACAGCCAAACCTGGTGGTCCTCAGCAAAGGGATCGAGCCCACGGCCTCACTGGGAACTCAGCGTGCGAGGACTGGCAGGCCAAGGCCCCTCTGCAGAACGGAGGCAGCCCCAGGAGGCCCTGGTTCAGTGGGCAGCCTTGAGACCCACCCCACCCCCGGGGGCAGATCCACCCAAGGAAGAAGGATACATCCACTCGAAGAGCATCATGAAGCTGGTCTTGGCATTGAAAGCAAAGGCGATCCCCCTCAGGTCTCTCACCAGGCCAACCAGAGTTCTCTGTGTACAGATAGAGGTGTGGATTAGAGGGAAAATGTGCTGCATCCACCAGAAGCAACAGGCCCTAGAAGGAGCAGCAGGGGGACTCTGCCCAGTGTCTGCTAAGTGTAACTGCCCCAGCATCTGCACCCAGGAAGGCGTCAAGGGTGTGTGCATGAGGGTCTCTCAGCCTACCACTCCCCACACTGGCTCAGGATGCAGGAAAGGTAATTTGGAGTGAAGGGCCTTGCTGGGGGGTGGAGAGTGCCCAAGGAGAACTCCCTTCACTTGCTCCCTCAAAGCAGGGCTTATGCAAATAAAGCAAAAAGCGGGGCCCTCCCAGTTCCAGGCAGAACTTCATGCTGCTGCTGAGAGCTCTTCATGCTCCTCCAGCTGGGCAAAGTGCCACCATCCTAGAGGAGATTGGCACACTTATCCTGTGCACTAAAAGATGCAAACCTGACTCAGTTTTAGTCTCATGGATGGGCAAAGACACAAAAAAGCTTATCAGTTTTGCTAAAAGTAGCCCCCAAAGTCCTATGTATACCCAACTTATGGTGTCAGGGAAAGGAGCAGAGATGCCACATTGTTTTCTTAGGGTGTCTGGGAAATGGAAAAATTGCTCCCCTGATTTCTTGGGTCAGTGGCTTCAAGTGGCACATCAGCTCACATGTATGGGCTGGAAAGAGTTGTAGCAAGCAAAGGACCCGCATGCTCTTTCCCTCCCCACTTGCAGGTCTGGAGCTAGAGTCCTTTTGACTGCCTACAGCTTGCTCTAAATACTAACTGTTAATATTTAGTTAACTGGCTGGGTCTCCGCACTGGTGGCCAGTCCATTCCCAGGCAGCTCCAAGTGCGGATTTTAGCCTTTAAAGGGTGAAGCTGCGTGTGGAGGGTTCCCAGGAGCAGGGAGCAGGGCCCAGCAGCATCCTCTGGAGAGTGCCATGAGGAGGGCGAGGCAGCGGCTGCTGCCCAGAGGGCCTTCCAGCGGTGCCCTCCCCAGGGAGGCTCATCTCGCATGCCTGCGCTGCGGCGTGGTGGGCAGCGAGAGCAGCTTCTCCGCAGATATTCTGCTGCTTTACAGGGCTGCCAGATCGTTGCACAGCAAGACTTGGCAAATGATAAATGGGACAGTTGAATCAGCTCTGCTGTCACAGGAGATCCAAAAAAGGTCCTGGAGGGAGAACACGCCGGCAAATGGGACTGCGACGACAGCAGTGCTTTGGAGAACAGCAGGCTCAGGAAAGCCGCCCCTAGAGCAGGGTGGACTGCACACAACCCGCCTGCGGCACAAGCCGCCTGGTGGCGATGTGGCAAGAGCGGAGAAGCCCCTGCCCATCTGCTGCCAAATTTCACTGGCAGGAGGCAACAGAGGCCGAGCAGAGCCCAATTGACTCGAATACCAGCTGAATCGGGTACTTTTCAGCCTCACTTGCATCATGACACTGGAATTCAGCAACAAACTGACCACTGGCTTGGCTTCATGCACCAAATTTCACTCATGTGGCTCTCAGTGGGCCCAGGAACTGGTGTCTGGCACCGGCTTCCATGCCAAAAGCTACCCGACTCTCCCCAAGAAGCCTGAGCAGTTGCACTGCATATTGCAGAGGTCCCCAAACGGAAACCCGTTTACTGGTGATGCCCAGACAAAGCAGCCCCCTTCAAAATCAAGGAGATGAAGGCGGAGGCCAAGAGCTCCACAGGTCCTTTTGCCCAAGGCAGAGCTGAGTGAGCTGCTCCTGCTCTGGTTCCAAAGCCCCCACAGGCTCCTTGATGCCCTTGGGAAATAAGGAACCTGCTCTCTCTCTCTCTCAGTAAGAAAGCAAGCAGCGTGAGAACCTTTCCAGGTGGTCTCACCATTACAAAGCAGTCACGTCTCATCTGGAAGCAAGAAGGCATCGTTCTGTCTACTATCCGCTACTTAGCTTCTGACTAGCAAGGAGAAGCCTTGCTGAATCTGGGGAGACCAACAGGTCTCGCGAAAAGAAGTCTGGAGATGTGACAGCATCTGGGGAGAGGTCCGAGCCTCACGATTTCCTTATAGGGTCATTCCAGCCGTCTCCTCCTGAGGACCATCCAGCTCAGGAGAGGAGCTTGTGGGAAAGCGGAGAGCAGGTCAGAGGACAGGGTATTTGCTCCTTCTGCGTCCTTTGTTGGGAACCTCAGAGAAAAAGTGTACCGTGTCAGAAGGCAATCAGGTGTGCCTTAGAGGTGCAAACTGCTTCCGTCACCTCACACACCCATTTCAATGGAGCCAGGCCTTGGCATGTGACTTGATGGGACATGGAGTCTTCAATGAGGGAGTGGCTCCCAGTTTCCCTCTAATGCCAAATGTGCGCCTTGGCAGCAGATTTCTTTGCCCTCTCCCGAACGCTCTTCTTCTGCAGCAGGTCAAAGGAAAGGGGTCTCGCGTGCCCGTCTGCTTCTGCTGGGTTCCAGTTCCCTCCTTGTCCCTCAGCACCAAGTGGTACGGTCCACATAGTCAACCTTCCAGAGGCATCTTGACACTTTGGGGAAGTCTGGCAAAATACAACTGGAGAGACAGCCTTATCCCGCCAAGGAAAAGCTGACTTTTCTGGGATCCTGCTTGTAAGACTCAAGACTGGAGTGACAGCTGGGGGCAGCCAGCCCACCCACAGCTGGAGCAGTCAACCCAACTACAAAGCTTGTCTTCACTCTCTGATGGAGAGCATCTGTGGTTTCTCACTGAGCTGGTCAGAAAGCCATTTGGCAAGCAGTCTACCATCCTCTGAAGATCAGGCACAATGCTTCTGCGGGGACAAGGCTGAATGGCAACTGGAGATGGTAGCAGCTCAACCACGGAGGCTGAATACAGCTGGTGTTCAGGAGGAGGAGGATGCAGAACAGGGTAGTAGCAATGGCCATAAAAGGCAAACCTGGAAGCCTGGTGCTCTGGGTGGACTGAGACATGAAGGTGGGCTTCTGAAAAAATTATTAAGAAGCCCTGTTGGCTGCGTGGCTTCTAAGGTGGGGTGGAGGATCTAAGACAGCTTGGAATCCTGCAGATGTTTTGGGCTGTAACTCCCATGATTTCCAGCCTCGATAACCAACAATAAGCGATTACAGGAATTGCAGTCCCAAACATCTTGCTAGCAGACAAATATGCTTAGGTCCTTCAGACTGAGCAGCCCTCCAATTACCATTTTTCTTATGGTAGAGGGTTTAAAAATGTATCTCATCTGGTTACATACATCTTCCTTATTAAAAAGATAATGCTTAATTAGTGGTTCATTTCTATTGTTGAACTGGAACCAGTTTGTTTCTGTTACTCCCGCTGTACTCAACAGATCCAGCAAAACTCTTAAGTCCAGCATTTTTCATTTCCCAGGATCCTGCTATTAATTCAAGGCACCAGCCATGACAAATATTAGATAAAACACAAGATCCCACGTCATAGGTAATTGAGAAGTGCACAGACAAGGACTGTTCCCTCTTGCCCTCTCTCCTGTAACATTTCTCTGACCTGCATTAGTTGTTCTGGTCTGTTTCGAGTGGATTCTTCATTCAGAACTCATTCCTTGTTTTCATAGGTAAAATAAGTGGAGCACAGTAGTTTTGATTTTCATTTGTTTAAAAACAACCAAGCAGCCCAAACCTTTCTGAGAATCTGGAACTAGTGTTCCATTTCTAGTAGATGCTGTACGAGTCCAGGGAGACTTTTTCTGCAGACCAGAAACTCAGCATCAAACCAAACCAGTGTTTCTCCTTTACTGATTATTTGAACTCAAGACTGTTGCTGGTGTCCACCCCAGCCCACTTTCCCCCCTCGAGTTGGTAGAACCTTGAGCTTGAATTTTGCTTCTTTTTTTTGACGGCCTGCAACAGCTGGAGTCTCTGGTTTTGTTCTTTGGAGAAGCCCCGAAAGAACAAAAAGTGCCCCATTCCTGTTCTAGAGGTTTGGAGTCCTCTTCCCCGGGGCAGACAGCATTGTACTAGGTGCCAACTGATCTATCAGGAAGTGTCTTCCCAAAATGATTCAGTGTGCGGATTAGATTCATAATATTAGTCGATGCCTCAGTGTTTTAACCATAATTTCCTTCCAACCACATCTGCTGATAGGGAATGATCAGAAAAATGGATGCCGTGTACCAGCATCTGCTGCACATGGCAGTTTAAACAGTTATGTAAACTCTGGTTCAGCCAGGGACCCAATCCTGGCAGAAACAGCCCAGGGGCAACATCCCCCTCTCCACTCCTTCCTAAGCTGTTAAGTACCATCACCGTCCAACCGATGGCATGAGAAGGTGTGTGTATATTTACTGAGTGTCTGTCTGCTCACCTGCAACCCCCATGCAAGTTGCAGGTTGCCACTCATGTCAAGCCAGTGTGGTGGTTTTGCAGCCATAGTGGCTGGCACTCTGAATGCCTGTTGGGGCCCTTACCCAGTGAGTAAACAGTAAATGGCAAGAAAGACGGCAGTCAGTTCCCTTTCAACCTTGACTGGCTAAACTTTGGAAAAGGAGGCTGTAAAAATCCCAGTAGTCAAAAAAGGCAATAAAACCAACACATTGGGAAGCACGTCTGAAAAAGATCCTCTCTTTAGAGGCGGGAGAGGAACTGGGAAGGACTCAAGTTTGCATCATTTGCATCAGCACTGCCTTGACTGCAAGCTGGAGGAGAAAAATGCCCTCCCCCACCCACAGAGAGACGTTCCAGAATCTGGAAGCGAATGATCACGGGAAGGCTGGCCTTAAGTGCCATAAGGGTTTGTGAGGTAGCAGCTGCAAACTTGGGTTGAAAGCAGGAACCTTCCTTACTTTTGCCTCTTGCTCGTTGAACGTGTTGGTTCTGAACATCTGTGCCACAGTCTCAAAAGCAGCTGTGAGGGGCAGCATGAACTGTTCGTACTGATCCTCATCCTCCCCTGGAAGAGAGGCACGAAGGACCATTATCTTCTACAGCCCTCTGCTTGACAACAGACACCAACCCTGCATGACTGGCCCGTCCAATGAATCTTGGGGATCTAACAGTCACAGGAAGATAAAGATCAAGGGCAATGGGTAACATTTAAAGCAGGGTCCCTGGCTGGGTCTTTTTCCAATCCTAGCAGATTCCCTGGATTTACAGGAAGTTCACTGATTAACTCCCCCGCCTCCCCCAGACAAATCAGGTATGACCAGAACACAAAGAGGTCAACAACCTGCTTTTGGGTTTGCAATAATGGGGAGCAATACCTAGGTCCACCATGAGGAGTCGCCCAAGTGCAGTGTAGAAAGTTGTCCGACATCTCATATCACTCAGGTTGGACTGATTGTTAATACCCAAGAATGAAAAGTGCTCACTCTGTCAAAGAACAAAAAGCATGTTACCAAGGAACAAGTGGCTGAGGAGAGGATTTGGGAGCACTGACCAGCCACGAGCACGTGCCTCCTTTTCCCATCTGTGGCTGGGAAACCACCAGCATACAGAAACTTCGACGCTCCCAGCACCTTGCCAGAAGTTGGTGCCTGTCACAGAACTCTGCGAGTTCCAGCTTCTCGCCTCTTTGCTTCTGGTTGCAAATACAGGGCAGGTTGTGTTAAATTGTTGTGCTGCACCATGGGCTGGCACAGAAATGGAACAGACTAAGAGGCCCCACTAAATGTTCTCACTGAGTGCAGTATTTTAGACATCTCGTAACAAAAAATTCTTCCAACGACAACCTGTGTATCATCAGACCGCCCAACCACACGGTCATTTTTAAAATATTTGTGTAACTTGGCTTGGAAGATATGTGGCATCTTTAATAAGTGACACCCCTTTCTGCTTTAAAGAGAACACTCTGGACACAGGGCGGCCCTGGAACTGCCTGGGGCCAGCTGGCAAGCAGCAAAACCATGAGGAGCAGCAGTGAGGGCCGGGAGCATAGAGGGCTCAGGCAATGCAGGCGGGACACTCCTTCTCGGCTGCATCTCGTTCCGAGGGTTGTAAAGACCATAAACGAATTAATGTCATGCCTAAGTGAAGGGAAGCCAGCTTGCCTACATGTCACACAGGTATTCAAAAGCACCCGGAGAAGGTAGGGTGCCTCCCAGCCTGGTTTCCTCACACTGAGGTCCCCACTACATCTCAACAGGAGGCAGGTCCGCCACACAAGAGAGAGGGGGAGAGAAAGAGACAGAGAGAGGATGAATCTATTTTAAATCCATTTATCTCAAGCTCACATTCCACTAAAGCAGTTTTACCCAGTCTCCAAATTGTGTGGCTCCTCCTTCCTAGTGTAGCTGCTCCAGACCATCCAGAGCTGCTGAAGTCCATGGGGCAGGGACTCGCGTGGGGAGAATTCTGAGAGCATGATTGTGGCCCACGATTGCGGGGGATAATGGGACACTGGCCATGATGAGGAAAGAGACCACTGGACTTCAGAACTGAGCTGGTGGACCGTCACCCATCCCGGCAAGGCAGGCAGGACTGGATGAACCAAAGGAAAACCGGTTCTCCCTTGCGGGCCATCAGCCTCCCGCCAGCGACTGGCACGGGTGCAGCCAGGCTGGTGAACACTGATTCATCATCATACTGAAGTCACTGACCAGGTGCATGCAGAGGCCTCAACCATGCGCATCTGCCGAAGTCACAAGCTGCCCAGATGTCCCAGAGGCCTGGTGCCACGTGGTTTTGCACACAATGTGTTCTGCTGAAGAACAAAACCACGGGCTCTCGGCCATTCTGCGGGGAAACCTGCAGCAGTCCATCCTGTGAAGTAAGCCACTGCAGCTCCAGAAAGGTGAAAGGTGCTTCCTCTGTCTTCACCCAAGCAGAGGCTCCGGCCAAGTCCCCCACTTCCTATGGTTCTGCTGCCTACACCCCACTGACTGCCTCTTTCGCTGTCCAGCAGCCTCCCACAGCCATCGGGGACTGCTGCAGGAAAGCCCTGCCACCGGGAGGCACAGCCCGAAAAGCAGCAGGGACAGCCCAGCAACAGCTGGAGCTGCAGAAAAGACATGCGTGCCCAGTATGCAACCGGGGCACTGGGAACCAAAGCCACCCGGGAGTTACTCCACAGAAGAAACAATTCTTCGCCATACACATGATCCAACAGAGGCCCAAAGCAGGCAAAGTGCCAAAGGATGAGGAGGACTTACTGTGTGATTGTTCAGCATGAACTGCACAGCACTCAGCTTCACCAGTTTCCTAACACTGCTGTAGGTGGAAATGAGGTTAAGGAAACAGCAAGGCATCCTGGAGGGTCGTTAGGATGGTTGGGAAGCGGGGGGTGGGGATGCTGGAAAACATGTCTCCCCGGCCTGGTGCCCCCAGGCAGTCATCCAACACCTCTGGAAGGCACCAGGCTGAGGAAGGCTATTGTGAGAGGTGGGTGGTTCTACAGCAGCTGCCACACCCACCTCCCTTGGGACCTGTCTAGGTAAGGGGCCTGGTTATCCAGAGGGGCATGCGTCCGCCTGCTGCACCCAGAGGACAAGATTCCTAGCCCGGCAACTGTGGCACAGTCTACAGTGTGACCAGCTGGAAATGCCCATTTGTCTTGGCGATTACGAGAACTGGGACAGAGAGGGTGCTTCTGGGACCGATGGAAGCGGCTGGAAATGACGAAGTGGGGGCTGAGCAAGGAAGTGGCCTTGCGATGGTGCCTGGCCAGGTCTTCCAGCCCGGGGAGTCTGCTGCAAAGGATATCCAATGGAGAGGTCATTGAGCAGCTGCAGTGTCTTGGAGGTGATTGGCTCACACCGCCCCCAGTACTTCAGGTTGGTGATGCTGCAAGAAAAATGCTCTCACGTCACAGACGGCTTTCTGTCACCCATCACAGTCTTCCCGCAAAGCGCAGACAGCACAAGCAAAAGCAACACCAGCCTCACGTCGCGGTACTTATGTCTGGAGGGCTAGAAAATTATCCTCCAGATAATCTTCACTGCTTGGGTCTCAAAGCTACACTGGCCCAAGCTCAGGCCCTGGGACTGCTACGGCACTGCACGGTCGGTTTCTGCAGCGAGGGCAAGAGAATCCTGCGGCAGTGACAACGTGCACCTCGGCCGCTCAGCAACCTCACCTGCTGCCGGCTGCAGCACTCTGGGAGCCCTGGTGGCCACTGGCCTTGTGCTGCATGGCTGTGGGGCGCTGCACGGGGGCCAGGGGAATCAGCAACATCCGAGTTCCTCCGGATGGGCCCTAGTCAGGTTTCTGAAAAGGAAGCCTTCAGCCACTCCATGGTGCTGGCAAGTCAGCTCAAGAAATTCTGCCACCTGGGAAGCAGCAAAGACTGCATTCTGGCACCGGGACACCTTTCCATTGCCTCTCCTGCCCACTCCAGCGAACATACAGTAAAAGCGCAGATGATAAGACCATGCTGAACTGCCGGCCATCACATGCTACATCAGCCTGGCTGTCCGGCAGCCCCTCACCCCGCCAGGTGCAGCATCCTCGCTCTGCCTCTCCAGCCCGTGGGTGACTTCCAGCCTGGGAAAGGTCTTGCAAGGCCACTTCCCATTTGAGGAAAGGGTCAAAGGCCGTGTGGACTGGGCCAAAACGGGATTCTCACCCATTGGAAGCCCACTCAGAAGCAAGCTAGCTCAGTGTGTCTGCTCCGAAGAAAACAGCAGCACTTTGAAGAGAGCATTCCAAATGGCAAACCTCTGCATGTCGACACGGAAGCAAGGCAGGTCACATCACTCAGCCGCTGCCTCCGGGGTCCCATCCCCTCCCTGCTGCAGGGAAAAGCTTCTCTCTCCTATCAGCAGCTGATCAAAGACAAGACCCATTTCTCAGGAAACAAGGGTGCCTTTTCACCGCCCAGTGGGGTGAGGCATGCTGACAGTCATCCTGGAAGCCACAAAGACTGACCACAGGCCACAGGAGAGAAGTCTGCAGGCCTAGTTAGGCAGCACTTGCTCCACGGCTGATAGAAGGCCCAGTCACATTAAACTGATTCTTTCGAACAAACAGGTACACTTGAGGCCAGGAAGATGAAATCCGGCTGGAACCAGCCCCACGGCACAAGCAACTGAAGATGCTGCCTTTTATTTTTCAGGGAGGGAAGATGAGTAGAAGAGCAGGTGCCACCGAGAGGGTGCCACTGGAGAGGTCTGCCTATTGCAGGGGAACGCAGAGCTGCCAAAGCATCGCAGGGGCTGGCAGGCAGGGATGCGCCGAGTGCTGTGCGGCCTGCGGTGGGGCAGTGGGCGGTGTGGCCAATGGGCACACTCCTCTTTCCAGAGCAGACCTGCTTGCAACCGGGCCAAACTGCAGCTCCCCTCATAAAAGCATCAGTAATCCTCGTTACCTTGACGGGCTTTCAGAACCAGGCCTCAAAGGGAACCTGGGGATGTCGAGGCCAGTGAACAGGAGCCACCACACAGTGCCGTCCGCAGCTCCAAAGTTCAGGGGCTCGGAGTTACAGCCTGTCACCGAGTCAGGCTGCAGCTGAGCCAGGGGAGCAGTCCAACTATGACTATGGATGACTAAAGCCAGCAAATGAGAGCGCCGCTACTGACAAACTTGCAAAACAGACCTGGGCACTCTGCTTTGGCATCTGCTCTCAACGGTAACATGCTATTCTCCTGCACGGTCCACCAGCCACCCCTCCTTCCCCAGACTCCCTGCAGCCACCCACTGGCCCTCGGTTCTTGCAAGTGGGAGAAGCAGGGAGATCCCTCCCCCATCCTGGCGCTTCTCCTTCCTCGAGATGCACACAGCCCAGCAGGGGTCCCAGATGAGCAAGGCAGATTTCTTGAGCTGTGTGGAAGGGGCCGTGGAGCCTGCTGGCCATTCCCCGCTTCTGCCCCCACCTATCCTCTGCAGCGCAGCACGAGCTGCCAGGGTGGCAAGGGGCTCCGTGCTCTGCCTCTTTCCACTCCACGTTTATTTCCGAGCAGCTGCAGCAGCCCAGCTGCTGTGGGAACCTGGCTGGCTGGGTCCTGCCGGGCTCGTCCTCGTCCAGGGGTCTGTCACGCAGGCAGCAGCTGCCATGCTGGCAACCACTTCCAGGGCCAGCTTGGTCTTGTTCTCTTCTCTGGGGTTGGGGACCAGCCAACAAGGGCAGGGAGAGCTGCGGCAGCCATGGAACGGCCAGCAACAAGCAGAGGGCCAGAGGAGGGTGTGCTCACTCTGCCCCTCGCATTCAGGGGCTCACCTTGCCTCATGGTTCGGAAAAAAGGCTTTCATCGACAGTCCTCCCTTTCCGATATAGACACAACAGCCAACTGGCATTGCAGTAAGGGTAAGTCACCACGAAAGCTTCTGCACACGTGCGACATGGCATGGGCATGTCCTCAGGGGCAAAAAGCCAAGCCGCTGCGCCTCGCTCTCCTTTTCAGAGACCAGCGTTCTTGGGGAATGCACTGGAGCAGCTCAGATGGCGAGAGAGGGGGCACTTACATTTTCCCTATGAAGACGCTCAGGACCATGGTCTCGTCGTTCAGCCCGAGGACCTCTGACAGCCGGCGGTACAGCTAGAGGCAGAAACAGGAAAAGGAAAGCAATTTGCAGCTTCTCTTGTATGGAAGAAACACTCGGAGGGAAAAGAGCCTCGTGCTGACACTGGGCTGCCTCTCCTGCAGTAAACGCAGGGCCTACACGCTGAGCCCACTGAGCACCCCTGCAAATGACCAGGCTCCCCTTTGGACTGTCTGCTCCCTGCAGGCAGACGTGGGAGCGCCAGCAGAGTTCTGAACTGGCTGAAGGTCTGAGATACACCTGCAGTGGCCCCCTACCAGACTCGCGCAACCGCCTGTGTGATCCTGACAGACCCTGGTAGTGCCCAGGCCTGGCCCACAAGGCTAACATGCAAAGCGGGGCCTTCTCAGTGGTAGCTCCCCAGATGTGGTGCTCTCTCCATAATTGCACCCCTCCCCACCCACTGTACACGTGTGCAGACAGGAACACATTGCAAGCCAAGGGTGGCTATCAGAATGGTTACCTGCTCCTGCTGCTGGCTTCTGCTACTATAGCTGTTGCTGACATTACATTGTATGGACGCTTTTAGAATTAGTTTTAAAGTTGTCTTATTCAGTTAACCACCTGAATCTTTCCTTTTGAGAGGGAAGGTGGGATACACGGATGAGCACTAAATAAAACCTCCAATGGCCAGTTTGCCCGGCAGCACGTCAGATGTTCAACAGCGGAACGGAGCTGACCAGAGCAAGAGGGATGTACCTTGGAGGATTTCTGCACCTGGTCTCCGATGTAGATTTTGCGGAATTGCTCGAAGAAACTCAGCATCGCAAGCTCCAGCTTTTCATTGCCTGCCTGTGCCAGGCGTGAGTCTGTCAGATTCATGAGCTGAAGAACCCTAGGGAGGCAGCAAGTCACAGGAGGCTGAAGGCCAGGTGGCAGCACCGAGTGGCAACTTCCGGGCTGCCCCTGCTCTCAGGCAGCCGACGCACAAGGCGCGTACGTGCAACGGGCTGGCGAGGGCACAACGGGCAGAGAAAATGCAGCTCCCTCCGTGTGAGGCAAAGCGCAGCTTCTAGAAAGGGTTTATGCTGGGCTGAAATTGTAATTAGTGCAAAGGCTGGCCAAAGAGCATGACGTGAAGGAGGCAGGCCCCGGCCAGCAGGCGAGGCCGCCTGTGGCCACGGGAGCATCACCCGGGGGTTACCGCAGGCCAGGGGCCCTGTGGAGCTGGAGTGCACCTGCAGCCCCTCAGGTCCGCTGCCACCGTAAGTACCAAAGTTGGGGGTGCGTCAGTTGGGGGTGCAGGAGGCACCCTGGACAGCCTCTCAGAGTACGCTGGACCTCGCAGAAGGGAGAGTCCCCTGCTTTATTTATTTAGCAGACTTACATGCCGCCCCATTCGCCTCAGCCTCGGGGCGGCTTACAAATAAATAAATATCATTAATGCAATAAAATACAGCTGGAGACATCCTGGCCAAAGCTGTTATAATCAATAAATAAAATCAACAATTAAAATGGCACTTAAATAAGGAGGTCTTGGCCCGGCGCCGAAAAGCAAATAATGAGATGCGATGCACCGCTGAGTCATGGCTGCACGGCCCACGCCTAACCTCAAGTGCTCAAAGCATCTGGCCGGATGCTCCAAGCTACTGTAACATGCTCTACATGGGGCTACCCTTGAAAGTGGTCAGGACTCTCCAGCTGGTACAGAACAGAGCTGCAAGGCTGCTCGCTAGCACTGGCAGACGTGACCACCTAATGCTAGTGCGATGTCATTGTCATTGGCCACCCGCTGAAATCTGGGCCCAATGTAAGGCGTTAACTCTGATTCAGAAAGCCTGGCCTGAATATCTGAAGGAATGTCCCCTTCTATACACACCTGCCTGAATGCTAGGATCTTCCATCGGAAATTGCTAGAAAAATATGTGGCGGGCATTCTTTCCCAGACAAAATTTTACATTGGAGTGCCTTCCTCGTATTCGTCCCCACACATAAGCAGCCTTGAGATACTTGCAAGGATCAGTCGCATAAAGCACACCTAACCTCTCTCTGCTTCGGTTGTTTTGAAGGGGGTCATCAGGGCACCGTGTCCCCTAAATTAAAAATAATACACCCAAGAAAAACAGAATCCTGTAGCCTGCATGAATTAAACAGGTCTTCAGTTAATTCTGTATTATCTACTCTATTACTCATGGGAAGAGCTATTTGAGCTCCTCTTGGAAAATGAGCTGTGTATTGACCACATACCTTCAAGGAGCAGTTTCACCACCAGGAAACCTAGAAAAGGCCTTTGCTTAAAAAGAAAAGGGGGAAAAAAACCAGATGCTCAGAGAGCAGAAACTGAATTTGTATAGTGGCACCCACTGCAAAGCGTGCCTGACTCACAATTGCTCAATATAACTTTCCCTCCTGAGTTTAGCTTTTCAGCATGAAAAAGCATGGTAGCTGAGAAGAGATGGGACTGCTGTATTTATTTTGTTGCAAATTATCTTTGCGCCACCTTCAAGGGACAATAAGCCAGCCTAATGCATCACTGCTCTATGTTTAGGAACATAAAGGTTCTTACCGACAAACCAGTTCACCATCCATCGCATCCTGCTCATCCGTGCTGGCAAAGGATACCCGGCCACCAATCACAGCCCCAATGATGTAGACGAGCCATGTCAGGCGACCTGAAAGCAGAAAAGGCCAGAGTCCTGATCAGGTGACAAGCTGCGATTAAAGCATACAAGGCCACATCACGTTATGGAGGGTGGAAAGGACTTAAGGGATAAACTAGTCCAACAACTTGGGAGGGTAGGATTCATCTGGATCTACGGTTGTCCTTGAAAATGTCTCTATGGCTCTGCTTAAAAAAAAAAGAAAAGAAAAGAAGGGGGATTAGATTCTACAGCCTTCCTGGGGCAACCGCTGTACAGGTGAACTGTTCTTCCCCTCAGAAGGACCGCACATAATGGGCAGATCAGGTCGGGTCTTTAATTCGACTCCCCCACTTGAGCAATACACGGGGAACCTTCAACAGCACCTAACAGAGCCTACGGCCCCACCCCTCTCTTTTTCCCCACTCCTCCGTTCCCGGCGTCCCAAAGCCCTTGCTGCTTCCATGGCTCTATTTTGGCAAGCAATGCACCATCAAAAGCTCACAGCAAGTAACTGTAGTGCAGCACAGTCTTAAAGCAGGTGGGTGCTGGATGAGGGAGCAGGCAGCCACGGAAGGGCACTTCTGATCTTCCGTCCTTTGATGGGGCTGCCGTCTTCCGGGCACTCACCTTCCTGCACCGCTACATCCACCGGAATGGCCGTTGCACTCTGCAGCAATTCCTGATAGGACTGGGCTGCCTGATCGAACAGCTGCACGAGCAGCGCACACGTCTTCTCGTATTCACAGCGCCCGATGGTGGACAGCTGGTCCAGCTGCTGCTGCACGAGCCCCGTGTCATCCAAGGGATCCTCCAGGCCATCTCTGCAAACAGAGGAAGCATCGAGGCACCGAAACACATGAGCAATCACACGCACCCGCTCCCGGCATGCAAATATGCTCCATTTGCAAAGAGAGAAAGGTGGATCGTTGCTCCGTTGATATTTAGTTCCACTACTAATTTCTATATTTAATTCTTCTGCTATCTTCCCCCAATCTCCATGGGGAAGAATCTCTGACTTGTGTCCCTGGACTACATGATCTGTGTCTCGAGTGCTCTGTGAACGAGCCGATACAGTGGAACAAGCCCGGGCTCGTCGCCAGCACTGTGGGAGCTCTGCAGCAGCTAGAAAGTCTCGGGCGCTTCTGTCAGTGCTCCTTCCGGGAACCATTTGGCCTCATGTGGAAGCACGTGACCAAAGATGACAGCGAGACCCCCGGAGAGTCAAGGGCCTCCCTGCACCCCTCAGGGGCCGACAGTCTCTTTACCTCAGTATGATGTGCACAGACTCCAGCCTGGAGGTGATGTAGGCTTTGGTGACTTCGGGGGTGTAGGTCTCCAGCATGTGTGGCTCTGTGGCCTTGACATAGGGAACGGAGGCTGCCAGGCGCTGCCACAGGCTGAGGAGATAGTGGACGCTGTTTGGAGCAAATTCCCAGTGCTGCACAAAGGATGAGAAGGGCGGTGAGACACGCAGGCTCGTACTTGCGCATTCGTGCATTTCGCTTCTATGCCACCCCCAGCTGCAGCTCTCTGCAAAAATGCAATCTAAAATACAGCACATTATAAAAACTGTAACAAAGCAGGTGTCCAGGGTTAAAGGTAAAAGTGTGATCCTAGCTAGTGAAAAGGAGGCCGCACGAGTCACATCCCCTTTGGGGGGAAATCCTCATCTTTGTCATTTTTCCTGGCAGACCTCAGAATGATACATGGTTTGCACTTTTCCCCAAGGCTCCAAGTGCCTTGAAAATGCGAACGTGCATCCCAGTCCCTGTTCTGGAAAGCCTCGTTCTAAGAGCTAGCTGACAAAACTCAGTGTTCCTTCGAGTGGCCTTTCAACAGAGCAACAGGTGTTTTTTCACAGGTGCTTTTTCATGTATAGCCAGAAAAGGGGATGGGATGCACTGCCAAGATGGATACAGCAACAGCTGGCTGTAAAACTGTACTTTGTGATCTCTGGGAAAAGAAATGAAGTGGGAGAGTAGCCCGAGCAATTTGAAATGATCTTGCGACTATGGTGGGGGACACCCACCCAGTGCCGCTGCAGGCTTGGCAAGGGGTTTGCCCCTCCCGGCAATCAGCTCAGTGTCACCAGTGATGGGGGTGGCTGCCCAGGCTGAGGTGAACACCAACCCATTGTGGGTGAAACACATCCAGGAACAAGCTGTTGGTTGTCAAGGCGGCTTGCTGCCCACAAATTGTGCTGGGTTTGCATGACATGACACTGTCGGACAAACCCCGTCGCCGTCTTGCACATGCACAGGAACTCTGAGAGAGCAGAATTGCCTCTCACAGAACTGAGCGCAGCTGCCCGCTTGGTTTCAACAAAATTAGGTCACGGACGGCAGTGTGACGAGTGCTGCCCCCATTGCCGTTTCTCCAGCCCTTGTGCAGCAAAGGAACCCAGACCATTCAGCTTCCCACCTGCAAACTGGTCACGGTGAAGTTGGCGATGAGGCGGATGACCTCAGGGTAGTTTTCCACTTTCACCAGCTCCCCTAGCTGGTAATTGCTTTTCAGCCGAGCTAGAAGTCGACAAAACTCGTGGTAGTTGTTTGGGTCCGACAAGCTCTGAGAAGAAAGCAAGTGCTCAGGTCACCTTGCCTGAATGGTTCGGCGCACTGGCAATCAGGTGTACGTTGACCCTGGATCAGAGAAATCCCCTCCACATGGAGATACTCGATCCATTTGTAAACCACCAGGCAATGTGGTACAAAAGCTTTTGCTCATACTGCTGCGTATTGGCTAGAATTCATCCTACTATCTGTTCCATTCAGCACCCAAGTATACAAAATGTCTGAGGTAGAGCCATGTCTGAGGCCTGGCTCTGGCCCTTGAGAGACTGCCACCTAATTCTGGGGGGCCCAAATGATTCTGATGGCCCAGACTAACGGGCCATGCTGTGCGGAAAGGTTGGCTGCCATGCTAGCAGATGTGGAACAGTGCCACCGCGCCAAGTGGCCATCCACCCAGAACGGCGGCTCTCCAATAGGTGGGTGATGCCTGGTGAAGTGAGCTCAACCCGATTTCAGTGGTTCAGCAGTAGGGCAATGACAACCTGCCCCTTTCTTTGCCTCTTCCACAAGTGCCGCAAGATTCTGGGTGGATTCGCACATCGCGACAACAGGCCCTGCAAATCCCAAATGCTGGCAGGGGACGACCCTTGCTGAACGCAACAGATAATCAGGCTCACCGTGGGCTGCCCCCCATCCTCCCCCCTCAGTCCTTCCATGGGGATCCAAGGGGACTGTGTGGCAGGATCAACTTCCCTCCTTTCACCCCACCACAACAGTGAGTCCTTGGCATAGTGTCCCCCGCTCCTGGCCTTTATCCCTTTTTGCGATCTCCTGTTTCACTGCTGAGGGGCACACTGCATGGCTTGCCATTGCTACATCACTCTTTCAACATGAAATTTCAGCAAACTTGATGGACACTCTAAAATCTATGTTTTAGTCTTATTTGTACAAACAGGCATGGACTCGGGTCTGAAATGGCAGCTGCCACTCGTGCAGTGTCTTGAAAGCATGTCTGTTGTCAAAGTGCAGACAACAAGGGCCGACCACATCACCAGAGCACTGGCTGCTGCAAGGGAAGAAACCGGAAACTCTTTGTGGGGGGAAGGGGGGAAGAGAAAGGAGTGGCTGGACAACGGTGCACAAGCCCAGCTCACGGCAGTCTTCAGCTGGGACCTTACATGCGGTGCAGGGACTGGGCCGCCTCCTGCTCTTCCTCCAAGGGAGACAATGCGCACTGTGGAAACAGATTCTAATTCAGATGAGAAGGGGCTGGAATCTGCAGCTGAAATGCCACAGGTGGTGGACCCAGGGATAACCAAGTCAGAAGGGCTTTTGTCCCGGTCTGCTTGGAAGGCCGGGAAAAAAATGGCCACCAGAGATCTCCGTTTCACATACAAAGAACCTTGGTGGGGATTTTATTGTTCTCAGAAAAAAGAGCACATAACGAACTACCAGAGCTCAATCCTGAGATATTTTCATTATTGCCTCTGTCATTACTTTTCTGTAATTTTGCCTAATGCGCTGAGACCATCTATGCAGTCAGGCCTTTGCTCTTGCACCCACCTTTGCCCTGGTGGCAAACCAATTCACTGGCTATTCAGCGCTTTCACTTGTTTCGCTTGGCCCCACGGATCTTTTGGCTATTGCTCCTCCAATACCCTTTGTGGGACTGTGCGAGGGGGCCTGCTCCCACCTGCTCTGGCAGACTCACTTGGGGGTTTTCCAGTATTCGCTTGACGCCGTCAACGAGATGAGACAGGAACTTTGCTCTTTCTGCATTGTTAAATAGGGATCGGCGGACAGACGCGATCTGCACTAGACACGACAAGACCTGGCGAAAGCAGGGGAGTTAAATGGAGGTGCTTCAGTTGTCTGGCAAGTAGGAATTATGGGAAGACAAGCAGGCCATCCTTTCTGGCACGTGGCTGGGGCAGACTTTCACAGCCTCCCGTGTGGCATCCAAGCCCTCCGCCAAGCCTCTGGAGAGGAAACGTTAAATGCACGTGCAATAGGCAGGATTTCCACACTTACCAGGGGCGAAAATGTAGGAGGGATGGAATGGTACAGGTCAAAAAATAGCTGTAAGGTTGAGGAATCTAGAAATGCTGAAAGAGATGCAAATACTACATTACTGCAGGTGCCTGAGGCACTGTAATACACAGAACCCTTGACGAGATGGCCAGGCCAGCACTCAAGAGTGGCCACAGGCCTGACACCCTCACCCACACTGAGCAGGATCCGCCCCAGCTACTGCAAAGCCCCCCTATCTTCTCCCACTATACTGCAGGACAGCCCGACACCTTTGAGCAGCAGCCCTGCTGAGAGCCTTGCTCCAAAGCCGCAACCCTGCCCACCTCTCTGGCTGCTCTGGATCACATGGCCCCAGGCACACTGCCCGCCCTCCCCAGCACAGCTCTTGAAAGGTAAGCATAAAATATGCTGGAAGAGCCAGCCGTACATCCCACGTGCAGCTGTGCCCCAGTTCAGTGTGCTGAGTTAAACCCTTCGAAATGGGAAATGGGAAAGTGATGTTGAGCAACGCCTGCTCTCAGCACCCAGCGTGGCGGCCCTGGAGATGCGCTGCCATGTGGCTTTAAAAAGGTGCACAGGCTCCTACAAACAGCTCCCCATAAATCATGCAGGTGGTGGTATGTTTAAGAGACACAAGCAATTAATGACTGCCAGGGCTTGACGATGGGGATGCCCTGCCTTTACAAAAAGGCAACCGCCTGGACTGTTACTGAAGTGGACATCTGTCATGGCAAGTATACGTTGAAAGGACATGCCTGTACTAGAGAAAGCTGCTCTGCCCCTGCTCCTTAGGTATTACTTGATTTGCCATGGCTTTCCGCCTCGCCATGGTGTCCCCCGCCCCGTAGACTTGCCCGCTACAAAAAGCCCCTTTCCATGAGGAAGCACACTCCTTTCTCCAGCCCTCCATACATTCTGTGCTCACAGAGCAGGATCCTCAGAGGAGCTCTTTAAGTAGGAAAATAGCTTGTGAACGACTGTGCATTCAGAGTAGCGTCAAGGGACGGTATGGAAAACGAGGGCTTCACGATTCAGTGTGGTCACTGCGACAGGCCTTCTAACCTTCAACAGCCGCTGTTGAATTAGAGGCAGCAGTCAAAGGTGTGGACTGAGACACAGGAGAGCTGGGTTCCACCGGGATGGCAAGGAGCAGCTTTTCACAGGGGGGGAAGGGCACAGCCCTGTGAGGTTCCAGGTGGAGGGCAATACCCCCCCACCGTATGGTATTGTGACTATCTGGGAGAGTGAAACCTTGCCTGAGGCCACTGGGGGCGGTTTGAGAGATGGAAATCTGTGAGCCGGGGCCCTGCCAACTCAGACTCCACATCAGCTCCGAGATTTAAAAAACCTAAAACCAGAGAATGGAAAATGGGTGCATCGTTTAGACAAGACTGACGCCTGCCACTGACCAAGAGAACAAATCCATTGCAAGGCCACTCTCCTGAAACAGTTTATTTATCCACCCTAAAAGCGAGGACAGGACCAGAGAGCACCCAAACCTGATCTCCAGCTGGTTGGTATCTGTACTGTGCAGAGATCATCTGAAGACTCATCTGTTGATGTGCCAATAAAGTCAAAGTTCAGGCAATTGTGTGTAAGCTTGAGGAGCTGCATGAGGAGACCATGCTGGCTTTCATCATTCAAATTCAGGTTTTTTCCTGAAGCCTACGAGAGAGAGAGAGAGAGGAGAGAGAGGAGAGGGGGGGAAGGATGCCATTAAGGCACAAAGGGAGCACAGTGTGGGGAGCTGACTTGGCGTGCCGAGGGCAGAAGCACAGCCCTCTTCCCCTAGCAGAAGTGGGCCTGATCGTTGCGGCAGGAGCTGCTTCCCAGGGAGCACAGCTGCAGCTCAGTTCTACTGGAAAGACAAGCAAAGGGCCACAAACATGTGGCTACCCCAAGCAGCTGCACTCTTCAACCCCCAGCCTCCCCATTACTTCCATGGGCCAATCACAGGGAAGTCCAATGCAGGACAAACAAGGCACAGCAGCCTTCTGGGCAGTGCCCCTTCGCTGGTTTGTGCTCGGCTTTCAAGACAGGAACACCGTTTCTTGAGAAAACCACCTGGCTCATCAAGCATCATTATGCACAGTTGCAGGGATGTGAGAGGAATTCGACAGATTCCCTGGCCTGGGCTCCCCTGACTTGTCTGCTTTGCAGTGGCCCTCAGTCTGACCTCCTGTGGGGTAGTTGCCAGGAAGTGAGCCCGACGTGCTGCAGATGCAGTGCCCCAGTGAAGGCAGGTTGCTGGGAATGGTGGCCAGCGCCCCACTCGCTACAGCCCTCTTCGCATCCTGATGGGGAAGGCTACCAGTTGTCCCACTGGGGGACTGCAAACATGTGCAGACTTCCCCTTGGCTCAGTTCGCTTTGCAGGACTAAGCTGAGCATGGGAGGAAGCCCACAGGTGCTGAAAGGGATGGATTTGAAACGTTCGTCTCGATCCTATTGTCGTGCATGAAGCTCCGACAGAAACAGTGACTCACGAGGAGACCTTGCACTTGGCACCCAGTGCCCAAGAGTCGACCCCACAACCCAATGCTGGTACGGCTGAACCACCTACTGCGTCTTCTCGAGCCCCAGCCCGTTGACCTCTATCAGAGACAGAGAGTCATGGGAAAGAGGGAGCTGCAAGTTCTACTCAGACGGAGGCAGAGCAAACTGTCTCCTCCCCCCGACTCTGATCTCCCTGAGCAAGAAACAGAAGACACAATAGGTGTCGTGGATTTCTCAAAAGCCGAGAACAGACGTATTTTACGCAGATTTGAACAACTACAAAGTAGACAGCGTAAGAGGGAAGAAAGGCGTGACTTGGGAGAATGATACGATGTGGGCTCAGGAAGAGAAGCCATTATAGGGCTGACACCTGCTTAGCAGGGACCGCTATTAGAGAACTAATCTATAGTATTGTAAATCTTGTAGACAATTAACATTAAAGGACTGTAGTTTTATTGCTCTATGGAGAGTGGAATGTTTATATAATGGGTCCTCGACCATCCCCCCTCGACACTTATGCAGATGTTTCCCGGTGAGCTAGGCTGCAGGGGGAGAACTTCAGGGCCCGAAATCCATGCAGATCTCTCCGCATCCAGAATGCTGCCAGTTTACTTCCATGGAATTGAACACAGCAGCAACTGTGTAAAATTCTGGAGGCTTTTCTCATCGCCTTCTTACCTGTTTCAGTAAATTGCACGAAAGTGTGAAAATATCAAACAACGATGAATCTCGGAATGAAGAGGCGATTTTCCTGTGCTTGGTCAGAGGGTGTGTAGTGTCTGCCTAGAAGAGGGTGGGGTGGGGAAAAAGATTAACAGTGGAACCCAATTCAAGTCAAGGAAAGGGGTGCAAGGAGGGTTTGCGCTCCATCTGGACCACTCCAGGAAAATGGTCTCTACATGCAGGTGTTAACATCAGCACTGAAATAAGACGTTAACTGCCCAGAATGCTGATTCAGAGAGCTGCTCGTGCGGCTGGGCAAAAACGCTGGGGTGAGCAAGTACCCGAGCAAGGTCAAAGGCTTCTTCTCCAGCCTGGGTGGACCTGCGGCAGGCAGGCTCTCGCTGCCCGGGCACGTCAGGCGCCTGCCACCACGCTCCAGCATCCCGCCTCCCAAATGCCAGTGAGGCCAGCTTGGCCCTGCGACGCTGGTTGTCAAGATATCGCTTGCACAGAACGAGGAGTGCTGTGTGCACCCAGCCCACATCCAGCAGTGCTGCAGGTGGGCAACCCTGGAGCAGCCCCCCAGTAACAGAAAGCAGGCCAGGCCGCAAAAGAGCTGCGACACAGTGCTGGAGAACCGAAGAGAAGGCTGGTGGCTGAAAGTGAGCTGGGCTAAGGCCGCCTGGAGTGCAATTCCTTGGGTAGAAAAGTAGGACATGAATCAGGTAACAACGTGCTTTTTGTCTCGACATCTACAAGTGTTAAAGCATGGGAAATCCAATATGCAGCCCCTTGGACACATACTAATTACCTGCGGGCCCAATCCAGGTTGGTCATCTCCACAAGAATATGCTCTTGTGCTGCACCCATTCACTGCACATGGCAAGTAAGGGCTAACATGTTCTCATCTGAAGCCGCTTTCCCTGGTCACAGCCTTTGAAATCCATTTTGAAGCTCCAACTACAGACCAGATAAAGGAGCCACCGACGGTGAAGCCAATTCACTCCTAGTGGCAGGCAAGTGACTTGGCACACTGCTCTGGAAACATCGCCCCAGAGAGCTACGACTCCTGAAGCTGTAAGTGGAGCAGATCAAGCTCTTCACTTCGCCTTCTGCTGGGATGGAGAGTTGTGCCTGAGTCCTCACAGAGCCCTTTGTCATTAACCAGCAGGAGAAAGTAAGCTGAGCTGGTAGGTGTTCTAGTAACAGCATCTGCAGGAGCATCAGGATCTCTTGGTGATCTCACCACCTCTCCCACAGATACGGAAGGACTGGTGGGATTTGTTGCGGCAGCTACCTTTAGGTCATCGCTGCCTCAGTCATTTAGCTCTTTATGTGTCCAGGAAGTGGGAGGAAAAGAAAACTAGACCAAACACCAGAAAGGGGGACAGTCACTTACAGTAAAACACACGCTGCACAGACAAAAATCAGTGCGCAAAAACACAGCACAGTGAGAGAAAAGTTCATCCTGGCTTCACTGCGCAAGGCAGTAGCACTTACTTGATTAATTTCGTTTGTCAGCTGAGACAGGATTGTCACGCCTATGATGCAGTGCTCCACACTGTCCTGAGGAAGGAACAGGAATAGGAAGAGAAAGGCTGATTTTAGAGGATGTGCTGAGGGGAGACACGGGGGGTAGGTGCCGCCACAGAAAAAGAGAAGTCGAAAAGATGCCACTGACAAAAACAACAGTGAAAAAATCGATGGCTTTCACCGATCAGATTTTGAAGTACCTTCTTTTATCAAGTTTTACAATTTTAAGTTATTGTTTTTAGGTAAGTTCAAGAGGTTGATATTTTAAACAAGTAAGATTAACTAATCTCTTATGTGTCTTTCAGCCACCAGGAGCACACGAGTGCAGCCACAAACTTTTTCCCTTATGGACCCACTGAGTGGCCTTCAGCTTGATCTCTGGCTATATTTATCAACCAATTAATTTCTATGGTGCCCTGTAGCTGAAGCTCTCTGGGCAGTTTACATTTTTTTTAACTTGCATGCAAAAGAAGCCATGCGAGTTGTGCCCTCAGCTCAGGAGTATTTTTCTGTAACTGTCCTGTTTTCTATCAGGCCTGACATGGGCTTGATTTAGTCAATGTACCAGACACCAGGGCTATCCAGTGAAGCTGGCTGGTCAAAGGTTCAGCACAGAAAAGTATATACTTCTTCAGACACAGAATTAACTTACGAAGTTCATTGTTGCAACATGTGGGGACAGCCAATAGCTTAGATGGCTTTAAAAGGGGATGAGACAAATTCAGAGAGAAGACCCATGCCTGAAAGGCTGTCACAGAGAAGAGAGAGCAGAGCAGAGCAGAGCATGGACAGCCACAGAACTGGGGCAGGTCAGAACTTAAATACTGTGGGTTCAAAGATGCATGACTGAAATGATGAAAAATGGGTGCGAAAGACCAGCCTCCTGACAAGGGCGCTAGAAGAACCTTTAGTCAAAGCATTACGTAGGTGAAATGGGGAGGAGGAAATAACCAACCTGTAAAAACTTTGTGACGTCAGTGATGACATTTCTGAAAACATATTCATCCTTCTGACAGTCAAACCAGCCCAGTTTTGTGATCCTGGCATAGAGCTGAATTAGAGCTTGTGTGACGAATGTTGCCAGCTTGGGTCTGGTAGCAAGGTAGTTGAGCACATAGTTTCCTGTAAAACAGAACACAGGAGCATCTCAATAAGGAAGAGTGGCCAGGATGAAAGCTGTGAATTCGGAAACAAATGCAGACTCAGGCAGTGATTGAGGCTAGCCTTTCACCGAGAGGTGCCATGCTGGGAGCCGACGCTGAAAGCGAGCGTGTACAAAATCATCTCTGACTTTAACTGATAATGGCGCTCTGCATTGCTGTGTCCAGCAGTAACAGTGGGTGATTTTATTTTATTATGGCATTGTTATACCATCCCTTAGTCAATCATCTCTCAGGATGGTTTACAACACACTAAAAAGTAAAACACCCCAGATCTTCCACTGTGTCCTGGTATGGGTGAGTAACTGCGGCACAAATATGCCCAGGTCAACAATACTGCACTGCACACGCTGCTGCTCTTCCTCCTGAAGTCTTGTGGGAAGGTCTCTGTGCAGAGTGGTGGCTCCTTTGAGAAAGTGGCCCAGGCCATTGCTCAGGTGGCGGCAGCCAAGTACGTACTTTCCCTCCTAGGTTTACGCTGTGCAATTGCAGGATGCGCTTCTCTTTATGCAGGAGGATTAGTTGAGCTGCTTGCACCAAAGGAGCAAGGGGTCAGTGAGTTCTCCTCAAGGGAAGGGCACAGGCTGCTTGCTGCAGGAGGGGGTGGGCTACCCAGACACACCGCTGCAGTGAGGCGGCCTGGGAGTCAGTGACTAGGAAATACTTGCAGGCAGAGCCCTGCGACTCTGCAGTGCTGCAGGCAACCCTTGAAGTCTTGACGCCCCCCGAGTCCGGGGTGACAAGCCACAGACTGGCAGCTGGCAGCTCCTCATGGATGCTCTGCAGGTGGTTCTGGGGGCTCTCACTGCCAGCATCTCGCTGGGCGTCAGATCCTTTTGACCAGCAGGTGGAAGAAGGGTGACTGAAGACAGAGCAGAAGCTGGCAGAGGAACAAGCCCCCTCAGGGGTGCTTTGTTGGTTACACCCAGCTGGCCTGCATGAGCAATAAGTGGCAAAAGACTGAAGCAGGAGAGAAAGAGGGAGGACGTAGGCTGCTGTGGGGCGATGTATTGCTAGCAGGCTTCAGGAAGCAAGCTTGCTTGGAGGCAGAGAAGCAGCAGCCTTTCTGGCCACTCTTTCCGAGTCTCTGCAGCATTTTTTCACTCAACTGTGATAAAATTGCTGTTCTGCTTTTGGATGATTGGACAAGCCGTTGTAGGCTGAACAACCCATGGGTGGTTAGGGTGTTCTGTTGCCAGACAAAAAGGCCACTGGGCAGGAAGCAGTTTGTATCTGGAGGACATGATAACCCACATGACCAGCTACACCAGGCCGTTTCAATGATCTGCGTTAGCATTCCGTTAAGGCTTCATTACTTCATTTACTCGATTTATTGTATTTTGCTATGTTTCTAGTCTACCTATTTACAACACTGCTCTATGGTTCCATACCTAGCCACATTCCAGAGTCATGAACTATAAAAAGATAAAGTAGATAAAATAATAAAAACTGTGTTGAAAACAATTCTAAGCCATTGCCGATCAGCAAGGGAGGCTTCCTGGAAAAAGGGCCAGAGCTGGTCTGACCTCCAGAGACAGGCAGCGCTGCCACTCGGAAGGCCCTCCTCCTGGGGGTCTCCAGTTAGGCCACTGGTCAGAGAGAAGGCACTGTCTCAAGCATCCTGGCCCCAAGCTGCCTGAAGGTCCTCTGCACCCTCATCCCAGACTCAATCCTAGCCCAGGGGCAAAGAGGCAGCCAGTGCAAAGGAGGGGCACGCTAGAAAGGGGCCATGCTGGAATGGGCCCCTGCTGCACGTCAGCTCCAGCTCGCAGAGCAACTGTGAGGGCAGCCTAAGTGGTCCTCACCATTCCCCAGTGAGGCGAGGGCCTCGGCTGGATCGTCAACCGCTTAAGTCCTCAGAAATTTACTGAATTCTACCGGTCTCCAGGAGGGATGCTGTGTGATGAGCTCGAATATGACCAGGTAATGATCTGACTGCAACGACGAGGTCCTTGGACCCCCATCCCCACTGCTCAGGCTACTTATCTCACAGCTTGATGCAAAGGCCCAGTCAAGTGAATTTCATGTATTTCTTGAATTTATTCACCGCACCCTTAGCCAAAAAGGCTCTCCAGGCGGCTTTCAATCAAATGCCCTGCCCCATGTGCAGGGTGATGGCCAACTGAGACAGTCCCATGGATGTCATGCAGGCTATGAACTCCCAAGCTGGGACTCCAGATACGGACTCAGCATGGCAATTAAAGGCAACCCAGGATCACCTTCTGGGGGCCCTTCAAAAACATACCTCTGACCACCTCTGCCAGCTCAGGGGAGGATGATGTTGCACTATGGGATGGCTGGTACGCCAGCAGCATTGCTGGTGTTGTATACCACTTGAATCTATATTCATTTTTAGAAATCACAAGTGGTATATACATTTTCTGAAGTAAAAAGCCCATAAAATTGGAAAGAAAATGATGAAGGGAAGATAAGTGGCTCTGGAAAAATCAAACCCTTCCTGCAATCAAGCCTTCTCTTCTCTATCAGTTAGAGCTACTTTAGAGTAGGTAATGCTGAGGGAAGGCTTTGTGACACATGCTTATTTAAATCATGCCTGCCACAATGGGCTCTACGGTGAACTGTTCTGAAGACTACTCAAAAAGGCAGTAGGTTCGGAACATTACAACCAGGCTGTTAATGGTGACTGCCAATAGGGCGTATGGAGCTGCCCTGTGGAAACAGGGACACTGGCATCGATTTAGTTTTAGGCCCACTTAAAAGTGCTGGTGATAACTTCTATGATTCTTTATGATCTAAAGGACCAGGGAATCTAAAGGACCATCTCCTCCTGTATGAACCTGCCCATCTACCAGGATCAGAACTTCTTCTGGTAGGAGGCTCATGATGCCTGCTTAATGAACTTACACAGCATGACCATAAATGGTTACTCCTTTTATGAAGTGGTTTTAACTGCAGTGGCTAAATTATTTTCAAATCTTTGTTCTTTGCTATTTTTGTGTAATGTAGTTGCTTTACTATATTTAGTATTGTCGAACAGTTTTGAAATTTAATGGTAGAATGGAAATACTGTACATAAATACATGCCTGCTGCACCATAAACAACTTTTTAATGAAGTGTACTGAATCCAACCATAGTACTGACACATCACATAAAATGTGACAACCTCATCAAACGTGTAAAGAACTGAGATTGGAACATTTAAAGAGCCACAGTGCAGCAGATGTGCAGTAGATTAAACACCATGGCACTAAACGCCTGGCTAAGTCTGGTTTTCCAGCTGCTGCACGCCAGTGCCGGGGCAGAGCAGCAGCACACTTAATACGTGCGTCTGCATGTTCCTCAAGCAATGGATCTGTTCTGGGCAGGCTGACCCATGACAGCTTTGCTTTCTACTTACGTATGTCTATGCGCTGCTCCAAGGGCAAAGGGTTATTTGTGCGCGACACCAGTTTTGTAAGGCATGTAGCTGCCAATAATTGGGAATAAGATGACTGTAAAACAAACAACAGAAGGCGAAGGGTTAAGCTGCAGGCTAAAAGCAGGAAAGGGTGAAAGCTATGAAGTGACTGGTTTTTTATGTTACTATTTTATTTTTATAAATAAAAGAGAAAAACACAAGAAAAAGTGACATGAAAATTTTTTTAAAAATTACACATAGCACTAAGTGTGAGAAGTTACACAAAAAGTAATTATTACTACTACTATCAATTTTATAATTACAGTTTTGACTCAATACTTGTTTATTACAAAAGAGGAAAAAAAACACCTATGAAATGGCTGTTGAAGGTCAATCTCTAACTACTGCTGAGGCCAGTGGGAGTTTGATTGTTAGTATCAAAGTCAGGGAAGTTCCTTTCCCTCCTTTCCTCACGAGCACATGTGTGAATTCTAGAATGCCCAGTGCGAGGAACGATAAGATTGGCGATCCAATGGTTGCCAGATACAGCAAGTTTCAGCAAAAGAGGCAAGCACGTTTTGGCCACTTTTCTATAGCACTGAGTCCTGTTGCTGTACTGCCGGCAAATGCCTTACTGCACTAACTTATCCCGATGAAGACTTGCGAGTATCCCAGGTTTAAAAAGACTATGGGATGGGTGGTCAATCTACCACTGCAAATTCCATGCATGCAATCAAATATGGCAAAAATGAAGGATAACAGTTATACGATTGTTGGTATGAATGGTACTTTGACTATTTATTCTAATTTCCTGTTCAGGAACACATTTAAACTCCATTTGCAGTTGAGGTCCTTCAGAGAGGAAGACCATCAAGGCAGGAGAATTCCAGATCCTCTATCTGGTGAGGGGAATGAGGAGGAACTCCCTCTCCCCTTTACAAGAATAACTGGTTAAAAGGCTTAAACACTATTGAATGAAGAAGACTGCTGGGGGGACTTGACAAATATGACTTTCCATTGGTGATTATACCAACCCTGCAGCAGCAAATGTGATATAAATTTAGAAGTACGATGTACTGATGTCTTGACAAGCAGGTCCTTGCTGCTCCAAAATTATGTATTGTTATTTTTTATTTCTTTTTATGGCCTAAATGAAAATACTGCCTTCTCTTCATTACTACTCTCTTTTATATTACATTTGAATTGCCAGCTCCCCTCATAAAACTGTGGGACAATCCCAAACAATTCCGCAGAGAAAGTAGTGCCATGGATAGCCATGCCGGAGGTATTCTAACATGCTGAGTCAGCTTTGCTAAGCTGGAAAGGCATGGGCCTGTAGCCGGATGGGCGGCCAGATGTGGCGGCGGGGCATGGGCGTAGACTATAAGGGGCCCCGTCGAGCTCTACTACTGTTCTGTTCCAAGTGCCAGCAATTCAAATGCAATGTGGAAGACAGCAGGAATGAGACAGCAGTTTGCAAGTAGACCACGGGTGAGAATAAAATGAGACGCAATCAGAAGGCCCCATGCACCCTGTGCCATTTGCAGAACCCAGATTAAGATCCTTGAACCAGAAGCCGACATACACTCCCTCTTTCGAGGAGAAGCTGGCACTTGTTCAGGCAGTCTGGACTATTGGTAAACTCCACCAAGGCCTTCTCTGCCTGGAGCCGCGTTGTGGTGTCGGTTGTCTCATACAGTTGCTTGCACAGGTTCTCTAGCTGGGCTAGACTCTGGAGCAAACAGAAAGAGGAACCTGGTTAGGTTGTTTAACAAGACAGTCATGTTTGGGCTCTCTTCTTAGATAATGCCCTTGCTGGGAAAAGCAGAGGTCCACCACACATGGAGAAGTCAGCGCAAAGCCTGAAGTTTTCTGCCATTCTTATTACAAAGGCTGAGATACCCACTTTGGTGGGGGCAAACGGCCTCCACTGCCTGATACTGGAGAACTGTGCTGTCACTTTCCGTGGGAATAACGTCAATATTTCACCCGCATATTCCACCTATTTGGATGTCAAAGCAAATCACAGGGCAACCTGGAAGGAACTCAGATCTCAGTTTGGCACAAGAAAAAACATTCCTAAATATTATCACATGTTCTTTTCTGTGACTTGGATTCCCAAGCCATTCTTCTCCTTTCTGTTCTGTTCTGCTGATAATCCTGTTCATATGCTTGAACAGATCTTAATCAGAACCTTAATAAACAAATGTATTTAATTTGATCACTTCAGGTGTCCAGGTCTCCCAGCCATGAAACGCAGGCAATCAATGTACTCAGACGAAAGCTAAGTGCATTTCCCAACGGCCAGCCAGTGAAGACATGTGGTCAAGGCAGCTCAGGGCTGGGGGTTCTTTCTCAGTATGCCCGAACAGTATCAGGTTCTTGAACCAAGGCAGAAGCAGCACTTACACGGAGCAGCTATGCAGCAGAGGATCCCTGCATGTATTAGATAAGGACCAGGGAGTGAGAGAACAGCTCGTGTGAGAGAGCGCTCTGAAGCGCTTGCTGAAACTGCTCAGCACAAAAATCCCAAATCAGGATCATCCGGCACTCACTCTCCTCTGACCATGCCATAGAAATGTATCCCACTCACTCTTCTCACAGGCGGTATACGCATTAAGCCTCGCATAAGTAGGATGAGCCCAAACAGCACTTGTGTTGGTGGCCTGCAGTGTGCTTATGTAGTCCTCTAGGATCAGAGGCGGTAGGCCTTGGAATGATCTGCCACTGGGAAAGAGGCCAGTGCTTCCATCCTACTCCTGCTGGTGGGTCGTATCTGCTGCACCGTTAGCTCCAAGCTGCGGGCCCCGTGTGGGAAAGCAGGGCCACATTTCAGGGGCACAGGGTCTCCCCTGCATGCAGACAGCTCCACACTGGATCACCAGAATCACCAGGCTGTGCTAGAAAAACGGCCTGAAACACCAAACGGGCTGCTGTTTGTCCCATTCTACTGTATTTTTGTTACTGGCTACAGTATAAGCAAGGCTGCACGGAATATGTAGAAGAGGGGATGTCTGTCCATCTCTGGGACCCTGGCAGAAGTCCCGCGTGCTGGAAGTGGCATACAAACCCTTGAGAGCCCGTCACTCAAAGCCATTTGTCATTTTTTGAACCTAGCTGCCAAAAACGCCAGCTCAGTGCATGACATGCCGCGTTTGCTGCTCCTGCTCTGCTCATACGCAAAGCCCTGAGGCTGGACTAGGCCAAGAGCCTCCCCAGCCCAGCATTGTTCCCACAGCAGCCAAACGGACGCTCAGCAGGAGGTCCGTTTCCGCACGTGAACATGCTGCATGATCCGTTTCTGCTCCGGAGCAGTTGGCACTCAGCAGCTTAGGCTTCTACATGGCATGAGCAGGACCACCAGCCTCTTACAGACTTATTCGCCTCATCTAATTCCCTTTGAAAGCTGTCCAGATTGGAGACCACTGTAACACCCTGTGGTAGAGAATTCTTTAATTTAATCATGTGCTATCTGAAGCACCTTTCTCAATTGCTCCTGAATCTCCCACCATTTGGCTTTATTCAGTGATACTAGGTTCTAATACAAGAGCAAGAAAAAACTTTTCCCTACTGATTCTTCCACCACCATGCAAAATTTTTATGTACCCCCTCACTTTCTTTTCTAAACTTAAAAAGTCCCGAATTACGTAAGTCTTACAAAGAAAAACTACATAACTGAACAAAACTGTTGATACCAAAGTCTTCAACTTAAGCTAATCTGGAGACCAGTTCCAGCAAGTGAGCTGCCAGAGGTGATGAGCAGGGGAATAGTCATCCTGTTGATGACAAGACAGGCACCAAAGTTAGCAGTATCACTGCTATCAGTATTGACAAAAGCAGCAGGTCTCAGCCCTGAGCAGGTGCCTGAAATGGGAGGTGCAACTGAACTATGCTGGGCTGGAGGCCCTGAAACAAAAATGGATGGTACCAGTGACAGCTCATGGAGGAAGAAAGGGCAGAGCTAGTGGATGAGGTGCCGCCTCACACGCAGGACTAGCGGTCGCAGTCGCAGTGCTGACCGAGGCACTGAGGCTGGGATACTGTCCCCACAGGCAGACAGTGGCTGTGCAAATCGTCATGTCTAGACCAGGGTGCTCTGTTGTGATGAAGGCAGGGGGTGCGGCCCAGCGGCAGAGCTCCTGTCTGGCATGCAGGAGGCCCCCAATTCCTCTTCCAGCGTCTTCATATAGGATGAGGGAAGAATCCCTTGCAAATATTTAAGACGAAGGGTTTTACATACAGTTTCCCAACCTTTATTCCCTCCAAATGCTTTTAAAAACATAATTAATATTATAGTCTTTATAGAAAGACTAGTGATATAAAATTTCTGGAAATTTTGAGGCTGGGAGAGTAACTGCTGTTCAAATCTTGTCAGAATCCAAGCAAAGTTATTTCTTTGATTCCATATTAAATGAATGCATCCATTACTGACAGACCTTTAGGGAAGATCCACTTCATGCACAGTCATCCAACATGGGGGCTGTGTCAACATATCACAACATGGAAGAAAATGTACGACGGGATTTGTTCTACCAAGTTCTGCATTTCTGGGTTTCTTCTGTTTAGATGTTGAAGCAGTCAATTAATCTATTTCTAATCTAAAATGCACACATGAAGTAACCCTGCAGGTTCTCTTGTCACCGCCACCCGATGCAAAGGGATAGCAGGCAGGTTATCTCACTATCTTTCTTTTTTTTAAATTAACTTTGAGGCTATGGCCTCTGGAGAACCATTTTTGGTAGAGAGTGGAACACAAATCAAATGAATTAGCAACACATTGAATGCACTGCCAGAATTTAATAAACAGCTCCACTAGACCTCTCCATGAGAAAATGCTGTTTCAGCCATTAGAATCTCTTTCTACCTAAAAGAAATTCAGCAGTGTGGTTCCCATGGAGCAGGCATGGGACTGTCAACAGCACTGTGTACCACCTTTCAAAATGAATTAAAAATAAGGTAGAAACACAGAAACAGAGCGACTCAGAAGGGATCCCCAGGCCATCTAGTCTGACCTCCGGCACCAGCCGGCTCCGCTCACCGCATGCCCGCCATGTGCAAAGATGCTCATTAAGGCAACCTGTTCACAAAACTCAGTACAATAATGGGAGTAAATTGTACAAAGGCTGAGACTGAACCGGAACACTGCTGCTTGCTAAGTGGGTGTTCCCCTGCTAAAGAAAATGACAGCGGCTTCAGATCGGACCTCTCTGAGCACCATCCCATAAAGAGGAACAGGGTTCGGAGCTTCCCTCAACTTCTTTGCAAACAGGAGCCACGCTTGCCTGGCCTCCAGTTGTTCCTGCTGCTTCTGGGACTATTCAGATGTTTCAGGGACTACTTGCTGAAGGTCGCTCTTGTCAGACCCAAAACAGGAACCCAAATTGTGCTATGCATAATTTGATTTGCTCATGAAGTTATCGCATTTGGCACATTACATTTAACAGGAAAGTTATTCACATAATAATTACAGATTTACAGAGTTCCCTTTTAATTATAACTACTATTTTATGAGCAAACAAAGTTATACATATTCAAGTTTTCCAACACAGCCTTCCTCTACCTGACACTTTCCAGATGTTTTAGCATTCCCCAGCATTCTGACCATAGGCTGATGGTAGTTGAAGTACAAAACATCTGGAAAACACCAAGTTCCGGAAGGTTGTCTTAAAGTGACAAAGTGACTTTAGACTTATAAAAAGAGATAAAATAAAGAAATGGAGTCCTGCAACTTGGAATCCTGCACTGAACGGGGTGGCAGCCCTGTAGCCCCTTCCAGTTCTACTATGTGTGATGTAGCTGTAAAAGAAGCAAATACCCCATTGGGCTGCATTAATAGAAGTACAGCTTCCAGATCGTGTGAAGTACTGGTATTTCTCTGTTCAGCAATAGCTGGGCCTCATCTTGAGTACTGTGCCCAATCCTGGGCATAATACTTGTGCCTTTCTTGAAAAGTTCAGAGGAGGGCAACAAAGATGATCAGCGGATTAGAAACAAGTTCCTATGAGGAGAGACTGGAAGAACTGGGCTTGTTTAGCCTGGAGAAGAGAAGGATGAGGGGAGACAGGAGAGCACTTTTCCAATACCTGAAAGGCTGTCACACTGAAGATGATCAGGAGCCCCTCTCAATTATCCCAGAGGACAGCACACAGAATAATGGGCTCAACTTACCGGAAGCCAGGTTCTGCCTAGACATCAGTAAATACTTCGTGGCTGTTGGACCAATATGGCAATGGGACCAATTACCTGAGGAAGCTGTGGGTTCTCTGACATGAGGCATTCAAGAAATAGTTGGAAAGCCATCAGGGAAGCTTTAACTGGAGTCCTGCACTAAGCAGGGGTTGAACTCAAAGGTCTTACAGGCTTCTTCCTACTCCACTGTTCAAGAATTCCTGGATTCTATGATTGATGTGCCTCATTCTCAGGATGTTTTATCATTTCTCTTATCAACAAAAATTCTCTTACATATCAAGAATGGTAACCAACATATTTAATTGAAAAAGACTTATGCACTCTCAAACTATTAAATGAGGGATATTTTATTCCCTTTTGTAAATAATTACTCTTAATAAGCATCTTAATCTTAGTTCATTTTGAAATGTCTGTAGCAACACAGTGAATCCTATGCTTTTACTATTGGAATTAGGCTATTGATTTCTTTTAGGTAGATAGTTTATTCTTGTGGCAACCTTTAAAAGGATAAAGTTGAGGCAGCATTTCCTAGCAGTGGGGTCT